TCCGTCATTCTGCTGTTGCTGATGACAAACGCTGATGCTGATCTATAAACGCTGAATCCTATAGGCCTATGGTTTACAGGGGCGCTGAGGTGGGAGGTGAGCATCATATGTAAACCCCGGGGCACCATTACACTTCTCATCGTCTGTCTCCAGATCAAGCCATCTACCTGGAAGAGTGAGCAGGCCTCCTCAAGCAATGGCCGTGTCACACCGCGCAGCTTCTCCACTGGGACTCCGGCAGTGGCTCGGCTCAGTAACAAGAGGTGCTCATTTGGGTTTTTAAATTCTGCTTTCATACAAACAGACTATCGGGCTATGTTTTGTTTCTTTCCAGTTTTGTGACGTTTGGCAAACGAGTTTATCATTTAAACTGAATTTGTCCTCTGTTGCTGGCCACCTGTGAAAGATATGTGCCAGTAGCAAAGACTATCATAATTGATTGAGTGTCTCTGTGGGTTAGAGTCTACTTCAGTTATACGAGTTTTGTACCTGAATTGAGGTGCAGTGATGTGTTGCTGATGCGGCTCAAGAAGCCACACCAGAGGCCAGCGAGTGGTGGACGGGGTGAGGGATGGGGGAGGGTGAGTGATTATGTTGAACTTTTACTGAGGCAATAAGCTGACATGTCAAGCCTCATTCACTGAACAATGGAGACATCAGGTTTATGATACAACACGCTACACAAACACCCACTGACTTTTGTTTTCAGCAGACCGTTCAACTCCTCTGCGCACTTCATTTTAGTTAACTATTGTGTTCATCTCGAGTTACTACATAAAAAGAAAGCATAGCACGTTTTAATATGGTTCAAATACTCATAGACAACCCGTTTATTTAAAACATGCACGCTCTCCCACATGTCCATAAGGCTATAGTCTGACCTGCTGAAAAAGACACCATTCGGAGAGAGCAGGAGAAAAGGGGTGAGGGAGCCGTCTGCAGTGCCACTCTTGCTGCTCTGGATCCGGACGCACGGCTCCATTGAGTGCGCCGAAGCTTTTGCAGTAGGTTCATTAGAAGTAACGAGTTGACACAAGGTAAATCTTAATGTCGAGGCGCCTTTCTCTAGCGGCCTGGGGAGGAGCCCTCATTAACTGTCGCTAACAACCCGTGTAAATACACTGATTGGACAGCTCCGACACAAGCGCCGAGTCCTGCCAGGAAGTCCCCCTAATGAGAGCACACAATAAAAACAATAAAAGAAGGGAGGGGAACCTGTAGAGGGGCAGAACAGAGAGACAAACCTTTGGAAAAGAAATCTGTTCAAGTTGGTTCCATATTTAAAAATCACATATGAATGATCTCGTTTTCGATCGTTATTGTTTCACCATCACTCCACGCACCTGCCGTTATGCCTGATGAATAATTAGGCCACAGATTGATTTACTTAATGTAAATGTAAACAGAAATGAAACGGGGAAAGCAGGCTAAAAGTCCTGAAATCCCGAGTACGGCTGAAGCCTTTCTTCAGCAAAAGGAAAAGCACTGTAAAAAATAAAATACATTTATATGTATTAAAAGAAAGAAATAAAGGGAAAAAAAGAAAGACATTTTGTAATTGTATCTAATTTCCTGATGAATGGGTTCATTATTGTTACACTGTTATTACTGTCTATTTTAAACCACTAATGCAAATGCATAAACCATAAACTCCAGAATGTCTGAATGTCAGTAGTTTCACCAAACTGTGTAAAAAAAAAACTAAACAGGAGATCTATGAAAATTTTATGATTATAAGAGTTTCAACTTTTCCCTCTGGTTGCTGTAAAATACACTCATATTTGTTTTACAGTGTAGCGGCAGCGCATGTCTGTACCGTCCCCGGAATAGAGCGGGACGGATGGAGCAGCGCGCCTGGTCCTAAGCATCACAAGTGTTTTGCAGAGACACAAATCAGACGCAGTCTGAAGACGCGCAAAAACTACAGTCAGGTACAATGTTTCGTTGGAGCAAAGCTTTACTAATAGATAAGTGTCCACTGCGGACAGAAAATCACATTTTACAGTAAAAGACTCATTTCCATTTACTTGAAGCAGCTGTGCTCGGATGGTGATGAATAGAGCAACAGTCATCTTCCCGCTGCGAACAAAGCGCGGTATGAAGACAAAAAATGCACCGGAGAAAAACGGTAATAACCCTTGTTTTAGAAAAGTGTGTTAAATAGTATAAAACTACTGTATTGTAAACAAGAGATGGTCAACAATAAATAAATATATCATAAGAGAAAAAATAATTCAATATAATTTTATGTAGAATCAGCAATTTAAAAAGCGTCTGTTACGCACCAGTTTGGCTCCGTACGCATCCGTGCGCTTTGAGTCCGGGATGAAGCAGAGGCGCCTCTTCACATGCCATGGAGGTGTGCGCTGCTGTCTGACCAGCCTGTGACAAACTAGGGTCAATGAGGGAGGCAGAAGACAAAACCAGAACTTTTCTCTACTCCTTTCTTTCCATGGTACCTTTTACAGTCAACACCTTTTCTTTCTCCCATCTGTCCTCTCCTCTCAGCCCTCTCTCACTCCGCCACATGACGTAACATCTGCTTTGTTTATTTGCTGTCCTTATTGGAACAAGATGAACATAATAATAAGAAAATACTGGCAATTGGGTCTGTTGTGAGAACTGGCTAGCATTTAAAATATAATTCAACACAATGGCCTTCAAACAACTTTTTAACAACACAAATATGTAAGGAATTTTATTTATTTATTTAAATATCCGTCTATATTAAGTGATAAGTCCAGGCTGTACATATATTTGACTTCCTTTTGCAAAACTGTTTGTGTGTTGTGGTGTCTAGGACTTTGGTTGTAAGTAAACGGAGATTACTCCAAAAGCTCGATGTGCATTGAAAGCGCTGTCCCCCGCTGCTCAGAACATTCAGCAAGCCCTCGGATAAACACACAATTACGGCAGGTGAATAAACTTGTTTGGGGGGTGTTAATTACACGCTTAACGTAAACAAAAGCCATGTAAAAGAATGTGAATTACTAGTGGCTTTGCTTTCAATCCCCATTCAGGTTTTACATTTCAGCTCCAGTTTCTTAAAGACGCGATTTTCCGAACTGCCTGCGAGGGCTCCCCAGACCTTAACGACGCAGCGTTAAGGCAGTGTAGTAGCCTATCCAATCACCAAAACATGTAGGCTACTATCCCAGTCAGGTAAGATTTCAGGTAGGCTTACGGTCCTCATACGAGTTCCGAGGTTGTGCGTATTTGACATCAGCATACATCAGGGGATAGGGCATCAAACCCCGAATCTTACTTCCAGCCCACGGCCCTTTGCAACAAAACTAATTCAAGTGCCACTTGGAATTAGTTCTCGTTGCCCTATGCGCGGACAGGTTTGATCCTGAGACACAACATCACACTAAAAGACACATAAACTCCTGACCCTTCAACCAGCGTCTGCTTTACGCACAGGGGACTGTCCGCATGTCGAGTAGTTACTTCTATATGTTGTGAAGAGAAAAAATAATAACCTTTGAATACAATAAAACAAGCAAGACTAATTAAACAAGTCTAATAAATAACTGATACTCGCTGTCCGTCAACTCGGTGATCCGTTTGGGTTGGTAGGGCGAGAATGTGCAAAGAGCGCTAGGAAAAGTTTAGAATTCCTGAATGATTTTGTGAAAAGGGGCTTAGGATCATTATGTCAGCTTTATTGAAGACGGATTAAGAGAAGTCTAGATGCTACGTCTTGTACATGGCCCTTTCACAATGTAGGCCCTGTTCTCGTCGGATTGAACTCACTTTTTTAACACCCTGTAAGCCCTGTCTAAATATGAAACCACTTTAGCCATAAACATGAAAATCACACCGCAGCAGCTACCACTCTAAGTCGAGTCCTGTGACTGAACACGGACATTGATCGTGTCCTTACACCAGATCAAATGCGCCAAACTGCTTTTATGTCCCCAAGAAGCTTTCATGCAACCATTTGATTGCAATTCCAATACTAATGGTATTAATTAGAGGGCCGACCTTCCTATCACACCACACTGACAAATAGGTGGCTTCAAAGACCAACGCCGATGGCAAATCACTTTTCCCAACTAAACCTCTATGATCTGTGCTTAATCAACTCAGCGCCTGACACCGATAATGGCTTGGAACAACATATTTAGATGACTGAAATGATGCGAAGGGCAGGGGCTGCGCCCCAGAGGCTGCGCTGGGGACAGCAGCAGCTCTCGCAGCCTCCAGTCTGGGATCCACACGCACCATCATCGAGAGTCAGAGCCCGAGTGAGAAGTGAGGGAGAAAGCTACCGTTTCTGTTGTCCAGGCAGAAAAAAAAAAAAAAAAAAAGTTATTAGGGTACAATGCATATTTAAGTTACTAATAATAACATGTCCAATTAGCTAAATCCATAGCCTAATTATTAAACAATATTAAGTTGATTCAAAAACAAATAAAAGTAAAGCTCACCAAAATATATGAAAAATAATATTGCTTTAAATATGGATTTAACTGCAAACTCTGGTGTCCATTTGTCCCTTTAAAGCCATGTAGCTCACCCTCCCACTCCGCAATGTATCCAGTCTATATCTCCTTTAGCCTTAACGAGCCTCGTTAAGATCGCAATAATATTCCTCCCTCTAATTGCTCATTCCATTCAGCAGATAGCGAGCATTGGCTTGTGGCTGATGCGCGCGCTGCGGTGGGAGGGTTGCTGTGGAGATCCGAGACTCTGATAACCCCCTGTGCGTGCTGCACAAGTGGTGAAAGCCTCGCGCTACGTACTGGCTAATGATTGGCACGCTTGACAGTGATTGGCAGGGCTGCCATGACAACGTTACAACGACACCAAGAAGACCAATAGAAAAGGGAAACAAAATGTTTCAATGCTACACTCAACGGCGGATTTAGGGGGGAGATATTATGAGGCTGGTGTCATTAGGCGATAGCCATTGAATCATTCAACCTTTTTTACTTGCCGTATTTTTTCGGTTTTCCCTTTTCTCGATAATTTTCTTTCTCTCTCAGGTCATTTCCATGGTTTTCAGATCGCCTTTAGAGCTTTATCCCTCCCATTTCTTCCTGCCAAACTTCGCTGATCGCCCTCTGCTCCTGGCGAACAGCGCTCCCTCCGCCAGGTCTCCAGAAGACTTGTCCATGTTTCAGCTGCCGACCCTCAACTTCTCCCCGGAGCAGGTGGCGAGCGTCTGCGAGACGCTGGAGGAGACCGGGGACATCGAGCGTCTGGGCCGTTTCCTCTGGTCTCTACCCGTGGCTCCGGGAGCATGCGAGGCGATCAACAAGCACGAGTCCATCCTGCGCGCCCGGGCCGTTGTCGCCTTCCACACGGGGAATTTCAGAGACCTCTACCATATCTTGGAGAACCACAAGTTCACTAAAGACTCGCACGGCAAGCTGCAGGCCATGTGGCTGGAGGCACACTACCAAGAGGCCGAAAAGCTACGAGGGCGCCCGCTCGGACCCGTTGACAAGTACCGCGTGAGGAAGAAGTTTCCGCTGCCTCGGACCATCTGGGACGGGGAGCAGAAGACGCACTGTTTCAAAGAGAGGACACGTAGTCTGCTGCGAGAGTGGTACCTTCAGGACCCATATCCAAACCCCAGTAAGAAAAGGGAACTGGCGCAAGCCACTGGACTCACTCCTACACAGGTCGGAAACTGGTTTAAAAACCGGAGACAACGAGACAGAGCTGCGGCAGCCAAAAACAGGTTGGTGTCACTCTAAATCTCATCCATTTGGATAGACAGGTTATACATTAAAATATACAAAGTATTTTTCCAAACAAATATAGAGAAAAACACCGCGCGTCTTGGGGCAAAACAAGGCTGTAGCGACTTGTTCCGAAGTGCACCAGGCACGGCGATAAGACGTACTAAAATTAAGATCCTTGTTCAAAATCTGTCTGTGGTATGAATGTATTTTAGTTTACACCATAAATGCATGTAATAAAAATAGTAAAAAAAAACAACAACAAAAAAAACCAACTAAAAACTAAACTGCTAACTGATACAGAGCGTTAGACAAGAAAGGTCAAAGAAGAAAAAAAAGGGATACAATAAAACAGTGTTTACAAACAGACAGTCAGCCTTTTTATGTATTTAACATATAGGCTATGGGTCAAACTAATTATAATAATATTACAAAATGCAATATTGTATGTAGGCTAATTTTATTGTTATATATTTATTATTATCATCATTATTATTATATATGCTTACACAAAATATATATATATATATATTTTTTTTTTTTTTCTTTGACTTAAAGCATAATACAGTGTCCAAGGATTTAATTTGAGCATTATGGGAATATTATTATTTATCCAACAAAAATGAGCACGCGGATTAAAGCCATAAGCTGTATTCATAACACTAAGTGTGGTATCATTCCATAGAAATGCAATAATTGATTAGAAAAGACTTTGGCTAGGACTAAGCCATATGAATTGTGCTCTAATCTTTTTCACGAGGTAGATTTCCTGGATCTTACATTGGTGTATTTATTATTTTGAGTAGTGGAGATGCACACTTAGAATGATTGAAGCAGCGTGAAGCTCAACAAATGTCTACTCAAATGTCTACTAGATTTGGCAACAAAATCAAAATGTGTGTGTGCGTGCGTGTGGTTTTTTTTTTTTTTTTTTTTTTTTTTTTTTTTAGGTTTTCTTTTTAGGCATGATATAGGCAATCATTGCGTTGTGTTGCAATGTTGTCTTGAAAAATAACAATGATAATTGCAGACACAAACACATAAAACAGATAGAAAGCTTTGAAAAAGGTACCAAAACAACAAAAACAATTCAGTGCATGCTATTATTCATTAACTATGTTATGTGGCATGTTTTAGTTAAGCATTGTTGGTATTTTGCACATTTATTTTCCATTTAAAATAGCACAAGCAACAATTTTGACAATTCAAAACAAGAAGGTTATCCTGAATTTGAAAGTATAGTGCTGCATTTTGTGCTGAAAGCTGCTGTTGTTGAAAGCATGCATGCATGGTTGGGGCCGGCACAGGGGAAGAAAAGGCCAGTTTGCACCCCTTATTTTGCGCCAGGCGGAGGGAGAGGGGGGTCTCTCGGGTCTAATTGCCATTTCTCTCAATTTTCCCTTGCTTTTTTCTTTCCTGCCCACCCGCCCCATTCCTTGTCCAGGCTCCAGCACCAAGCAATAGGACCGAGCGGCATGAGGTCCCTGTCAGAGGCTGGGCTCACTCCCCACAGCTCGGCAGAGTCGCCCTCCACCGCGGCCAGTCCCACCACCAGCGTGTCCAGTATGACAGAGCGCGTGGACACGGGCACGTCCATCCTGTCAGTAACATCCAGCGACTCGGAGTGCGACGTATGATACGCACAAGAAAAATCCAAAACAAAAGAGAAATATTTACAACAGGGACAATGGACATGAGACGAAAAAAGACTTACGATATCGCGAATGAAAAAAGGACTGATATAAGTATTAAAATTAAAAGAGATAAAAGCACGTCTTTTTATTAAAGCGCTTTCAAAGGATCTCCCCTCCTTTCATCCCCACGTCACCATCAACACTAGACTTATTGCATGACATTTGACTTCTTTGGTTTCTCATTTGCATCCGGACAACAAACCTGGTGCAAGCATTTTGTCAGACTGGAACAGCGAGGGAATACACTCCTCTTGGTGTTTGTATCAATTTTATTTTTATGTTTTTATTTTTATTTTTCTCAGTTCAAAAACGGTGAAGACCATGTGAACCATAACTCGCAGATGCAACCTCTGTTTACTTTGTTTTCATCAGACAATCATTTGAAGCACCTTTTTACTACTCTTCTGTCACTGCCTGTGTGGGGTATATGTTCAAAAAATGTCGATGACTGTATCAGATTTTTATTTTTATTTTCAAAATTTTATATTGAATTATGTATATCTTAAATAATGCGATCATTCTCCCAACCTGTAATATACGTGTAGAAATATGACTGTACATAATTATCGCCCTACCCTTGTCTCATCCTCTTTTCTATCCCTCCCTCACTTTTCTTGACTTGGTGTTCCTACATAAAATATTTGTCAAATCTAATATTGTTTCTGATCTATAGCATTTTTGGTGCATGGCTTTGTTTCGAAAGCATTTTAAAACATGTTTTGCTGTAAAAATATGGGTTTGAAGTGGTAGCATACCGCCCCGGGTCAGCGTTTCCTTATCCTTGCTGCATTCTTCCCACTGTGCTCATTGTAGTAATACCGGTCACATTCAAATACAATGCTCAGTTTTCTATACATCTTTGCATGTTGGCTTTCCATCCGATAACGCACTTGGACATTGATAAGTGGCCAAACACATGCCCGTGGCCCTTTATTGGCTTGTGGAGGTATTGTGCTCATGTGGCCTCTGAACTGGAGTCAAATCTAAATATTCGTCAAAATTTTACAGTTGTCAGCACTTGCAGCTTGTCATGCGTTTGGGTTATTTTACGCATATCATTATACAAACATGGCAAAAGCTGGTAGTAGGCCTACAGTTCTGTGCATTTGATAAATATCAGCGCTATGTGCACTTAAAACGTGAGTGCTATTTCCCTTTTGTTTACCGTTGCCACTGAATACAGAAATTAAGTAAACGCGCCATTAAATGGGCTAATCACGAAGGAACTCCTCCCTTGTCCCAATCTCTCATTGTAACCCAGTGAAAGGAGCTTTTCTTCCTCGGTAGAGAACCATTTCCCCTCCAAAAAGGCTTTCTCTCCTGCAGTCCTTTCTATCTAAATCCCTCCCCAATTATTCTGCCGGCCAGGGAAGATTTGCTACAGGACACTGTTACAAGAACTCACTTTTGGGTGCAACCAAGAAGTAGATGGCTGTGGTCAAAACTTTTACACGAGTTTTAAACGTGACATTGAACAGAGTTTTTGGAGCGCGTATTTTTACGCACGACGCTTTTTATATTAAGCCACAAAAAGTTTCAACAACAAATTAATAATTTCTGCTAGTATAGTGTAGATGATTAGAACATGGCGCTGAATTTGTCCAACAATATTTTTTCTTTGAAAAACTCGTTTAACATTCTCACGGTTCTCACTATTATTATATAAATGTAGTTTATATTTGGTTTTGGCAATATTTTTCATGTTTTTTGAGTCTCAATCCTTATTTCACACGTTGCGTTTTGTCATTATAAATGCAGTGTAGACTTTTAGATGAAACACTAATGTAAGTCAACAAGCTTTGTTCATATGCGTTCAGGCAGCAGGTTAAAACCTATTTTCATGCATAACTTTTTTCAGACCAATCACAACAGAAAACTGCGCACGTCTAATGCTCAATGGACCCCTGTTTCTGCCAGTCTATCGCAGATGAACTAAATCTGTGATATATTTTAAAGTATCTCGGGTGTTAAAGCGGCCTGCGAGAGACAGATAGGCCCTATCAAGAGCACCGAGGAGCCAGTACGGGAGCCCGCGTACCAGCAGTAGCTGCTTATCATGTACCCCCCACTTCTCCACAAGTTTTATTGGATGTGACAAGTCCCGGCTATGATTGAGATGAAATTAATCGTAAACTGAAGAGCATTTTATCGGCGAAAGAGGACACGAGGATTAGAGTTATATGTGAGAGATTGAGCCACGGATAAGAGACTCATGAATACAAAACAAGACGTGAATAGACTTCATTTACGCAGCGTTATTCATTAAACCCACTAGCATCAGAGGCGAATGTGAGCAAATGTGCTGGTAAAAAGTTATTTTGAGTATAATGGAAATAACTTGAGAAACTTTTACGCTTCAAACACACTCACAAATTTATGAAAAACGTGTGCGTAAAACCACACCAGCCTGTATTGCGAACTATTGAGACGCACTGGACTTGTGTAAACAGGTAGAAAGCATATGTAGGCCAGAGAGGAGGCAGTCTAAAGTGTTGCCGAGTGGGGTCATTAACAGTGGGGGAGCTCTTGTTCGTGATCTGTCAGCTCATATATGGATCACGAGACAAAAGAACTAAGCAAAGAATAATCCGTGTGTGTGATACTTACACGAGAAGCGCGACAATAGTAAGGCTCATGTTTTTCTCCTCCATTCACTGTGTGTACATGTGTTTCTGCCATTTATCTACAAGTGGATCTGCCTGGATACATTTTCTTAAGTCATCCGATTGCAGACAGTAGCCTATCCAATAATCACCATAATACATCGAGGAATTTCAAATTTGCCCTTTAACTTTGAATGATGTTCTTTGTTGTATTCTTTAAAAATTAACGTGTTGCATTCCTCAACAAGAGCGCGCTGGCTGGTGTGAAATACTTGAACTGCCCCGTTTTTCTTCCGATTTCCCGGTTAAATGAACACAAGTTTTCTTTTGGGGTGTATTCACGCATCAGCCAAAGAACAGCGGTTTCCCTACACCCCCAGCCAGAAGGAACTCTGCTTGTTCAGGGGTAAGGCTGCGTAAATTTGGTTTTACTATAAATAAAAAATATTGCATTATTATAACATTTGTGCAACTTTAATATAAGGCCTACATTTGTCTTCACATTCGTTTTTCATAGTTTAAAGACTTTCTGAAAGATATTTAACACAATTTACAGCGTATCAGTTAAACCACTCTTCTGGGTGGACAATTATCTCAGCATATAATTATCAAATCCGAATCATCCCATATACAGGTGTTCTGAGTAACGTTCAACAGTCAGTGCGTCTTTCCTGCCAATGCGTATATTTATTTATTTCACTGGAGCCTACAGTAGAGGTCTCGTCGCTTCCATTACACGGACGCTATAGAGTATATATAGACAGATGAGATCATACTCTCTCATGGTCAGGTCTGAGCGGAGGGCGGAGGGGTTAAGAAATAGCCTGGCCTAATGCTTATTAGTATAGACTGCCATTGCACAAGCCTCATCTTTTTAAAACAAGCATGGCATGAAAGCAACCTAACTCCAGCTTACTCAAGCGAACACGAACACCCCTCCCCCGCGCGCGCACGTGCACGCGCACCGCTCCGCGCACATACTTTAGCCTACATATGTGAGTGTGCAGGGTGGGGTGTGGTGCGGAGGCCAGGCTGTGATCTCTCGCCTTGTGCACACCGAGTGGACAGAGGGCTGAGCAGCTTAAATGGAGCCCCCGCACCTGTGTTTTCTAACGCTGTTCTCAGGCCTTCTTAGGCACTCACTCCTGTTTATGTATGCAGTGAGAACAACACACTGGACTCGAATTTAAGGATGCCAAAAGCCCAACAGACGGTAACACCAACATGACAACAATGAAATAATGCCATGCGGAAAGGTAGTCTTTCATTACAATAAATCCCCTTTTATAGGGTCATTTCTAGGATAGCGTTATCAACTGTAATAATAAAAGCAATATTGAGCAGAAAAACACGAAAAATGGTATAGCCTAATTTAAATAAATTTGTTAAAATAAGTATCCCTTGTCCTATAGTTTAAATTTACAGTTTAAATGGACGTTGGCTACAAATTTCATCATTACGGTTCTTGTTCTCGTAACCAAACAGTAAGTCACTTTTTCAGTGAGGGTGCTACTGTCCATAGTTCGTGAACAATGCCTCTTTTTTATGTTGCAAATGCATAATCAAAGAAAATTGAACTCGACAACAATTAACAGAGGTTTAAATGTAGATTTGGCCTACTGTAATTTAAACACCACAACAATGGCCAAGAAATATGACACTGTATTGTTTTTAACCAGAGGTCTTTCCATGACCTAGAGCTTTGTGACACTGTGGTTTAAATGAAGGCCTATGCGCAGTCAGTGTATCTTTATCTTAACATAATTTTTCCTCTATAGATTGTTGGCTGTGACCGAGTGGCCTAGGCAGTTTCTGGTCTGCACAGACTCCACAGCGGGAAGAAAGGCGCTCCCATGAGAAGAGAGACCCATGTTCTTCTACTGCCATCTAGCGGGGAAATGGGAGAAGACAGCTTTGCCTCAATTGTGGACAGTTTTGTGGATGCAAACATAATTTAAAATATGACCAACATATTATATTTAAACCGTCAAACTAACCTTTTCCTCTATTCTTTAAATATGATAATTTCTTTCTGTTAAACCAGTGACAAAAAGGTAACATAAAACAATAGATACTTACAAGTTCTTTACAGCAGTAATAGTGGCAGTGCAGAAGTAAATGCAATCTTCAGGATAACAGTAATAAAAAAAAAATATATATATATATAATATATATATATATATATATATATATATATATATATATATATATATATATATATATATATATATATATATATATATATATATATATATATATATATATATACATACTTATAGTAGTCCATAATAGGCTAGACACTACAAAAACAAAAAAAATCTTGCCAAGTTAAAATTACTT